CTTTAATAACGTTACTCAAGAACCGTTCTGATCTGAGTTAATCAATATTTGTGAATTCATCCATACAGTTTCAAGTCTAAAACCTAAAAGTTCTTAATGAGTTTATTTAATTTATCTGGATTATAAGTTTGAAACTTTTTAAAAACATTTTTTACTTGTTTATATTTTTCTGTCGAGCAAGTTTGAATACCTACACAAATATTAGTTGGTTGGCCGTGTTCCTATTATAAATAATATCTATAAAATTACAAAAATTGAAGTATTTTAATTTGCTTATAACTTATAAACAAAGAATAACAGCTGGTTTAGCGGCGGTATCGCGAGTAATTTAGTGTCATTTTTTACAACAGTTTCATCTATTCAGCATTCAATTTCAAATTATGTTCCCAAGAATGATTATGAATCGTCACACGCACACACCATAGTTACTGAATGAATCAATCATAGCAACAGTCCGAAATTTTCGTCATGGAGTCCGAACGTTTTAAAGAGTTTGGGCTACGACCGGCCGCGAGCACGTTCGATCGACGTAGGGAGTTCTGTCGGGTCAACATTTCTCTTCTCGACCACACTAAATGATGGTCATAAGTTGTTGAAAGTGGACAGTTCCGACAGTCCGGCGAGTGATGATGACCGCAGTTTGGACGACCTCTCATTCAACAGTGCGCCACATTTTAACAGTTCTTTTCATTTCTCTATATCAGCTCTTTGCAAATTGTTCTATAAATTTAAACTGTTTTGTAGAAAAATCGGTTGAACACATTTGTTACCTCATTAATTTATCAATCTATCTATCGATTTAATGTTTTAAAGTAATATGTTTAATTTAATCGAGTGATTAATTTTTGTTTCTTCATATTTAATTTTGTAAAAATGGTTGTTCATAAAAGCAATGTTTGGCGTGTGTAATATGTTTCATGGAAACAACAATCCTTTCCCTGCTTGTTGTGTTTTTAATGTTAAACATGCTGTCTAGTTGTTTTATGTGGACACTTGAAATCAAAATATTTACGAATGTTTTCTAATTTTTTTGCCAATTTTAACGCAAGTAATATTTTGAAATTTTGAAAACTCAATTAATGAATTGTTCAATTGAATGTTTTTGAATGTTATTTTCAGATCGACGGGGTAAACCAAAGAAATCTCCATTTAACATTTTCAAGTATTCGCAAATTTTATTTTGCTTTATGATATACTTAATCAAATTTTTGAAATTCATTCTCATTAGGCTGGCATAAATTTTACAATTGTAAGTTATACAATTTTATTTTGAAAGTATATTAAGTTGAATGTTAATTCAGCAAGTTGAAAGGTTCCGAAGAGGTGCTCTTCAGCGAGGTACCCAAGCCGAGGAAGAGAGGTTTCTCGCTGGACTTCAGCAACGCCACCCCACTCAGCCTCATCGGATTCAAGGATCCCAGTAAACAACTGACAAGTTTGTAGCTACTGACCAAAATTATTATTAAAGCTTAATAATGGTATGTGTTGTTATCACGGGATACTATAGACTTGGCTGGTCTCACTCTTGACACGCTCTCGAACTCGCGTAGTCTCTTTGTCTGGAATTTTATGATTTTTCTGCATGTTGTAAATAGGTTTATACACATAATAACCATATATATACATTCTGATGTTAGAAATGTTGGAATAATATCTATTCAATATTAAAATATGTAATATTTTCTGATTGAATCACACATTTAACCAAATGTTGACATGGAATTTAGACTTGATTAATTTTGGAGTTTGCCGTCTATAATGTAAGCGTTTTTTTCATTGAAATATTTGCAGTATATTATAAACATGTTAACTTCGAGTGACACGAAACGAATTGCAACACTTCTTTAAGGTCATCCCAGAAGGAAGTCAGTGTTCCCGCAGCCAACGGGCACCAAATGCATCACGGTTCGTTTCTATTCATGCATAGGGAATGTATGACAGAATGTTATTATGAGCATGTGTGTGAAAGTGCATGCATGGCATATGTTGATGTCTATGGGCTGTATCATACTTGTAGATGGATTTAGAGTTTAATTCGAATGCTTTCCAATGCTTCGTTTAACGCACAGTTTTGCACTGCACTGTTTTCACATTTTGACCGGTTTATTCTTCATCAGCTTCAATCATTTTGTTGGTTTACTTAGGATTAGCAGAAAATGCAAAAATGTATGAATAAAACTTTGTGGTGATATTGAAATAATTTAAAAAATTTAATGGTAAACATTGAAACTTCAAACAATGTGCATGTTGGGCTGTGTGTTCTAGCTCACAATAGCTCATGTAATGTTGAGTGAATATGGTGATGGCTGTGCATGTGCAAGCACTGAAAGGCCTATAAAACGTCGTCAGCTTCAACTCAATCAATCATTTCTCGGCATTAATTTGAAAATTGGATTACGATATTTGAGACATCATGTTTATCGTTGACACCACATTTCTTGCTGGAATCTTCAAACACAACATTTAAAAAGTTGCATTAAAGTTGAATTATTGTTTGGCTGCAGTTGAATATCATTGGTTATTATATGAGGTTAGACGTTTGGACGTTATTACGAATTGAAAAATATTTTTGAATAAAGTAGATTAAAACTTTTTATACGATACCAGAATATTGTAAAGATATATTACATCCATAGATATATAACTAATTATTATAAAAATATCATACCATAAGATACCAAACAATAATTATAGATATATTATATTATATCACTAAATAATATCAGACAAATTGTAAAAATATATCACCAGATGACTTGAGCATGCTAACACAAGCACGAAAGTAAGTATAGCAAGTACATATATTGATTGTCAGCTCATTAAATTCCTGCTAACGTAAGAACGAACTAGAGAATAATAATGTTAAATCATGCTCGGTACATGTTTCACATACTTCTACGTGTTATGTACAGTACAGCATGACGAGCAGCGCAATTGTCAGCTCGTGATTTGAATGGTTAGGTAGGTATCGGTAAGCAAATATTAATTTAATATTATTGATCGTGGTGGTGTTTTATAAAAATTCACTCCGAAAGTGAAAATAAATTCATTTGGTGATATATTAAAATTATTATTATTAATAATAACAATAATAATAATAATATTAAGTTTTGATTTATTTCGAATCAAATTTGTAGAATCAACTTTTTTTTTATCAAAATTTATAGCCGGTTAACTAATTTCGTTTTTTACAAATCAGTATAGAAATGCATCTACCCACGTTGCAGTATCAATAACTTAATAAACCAATCGAGGAAAAACTAATTAAAATTGTATGAAATAGCTGGCAAAAACTCTCGATTTGAATTAAAAATAAAGTGACATTGATATTCGATTGAACTCAAAAATCATTGAAAATGTAAACACACAACTAACTAACAATCGACTAGTATTATAATTATTATTGCCCAATACATAATATATTATTCATGTAAAATTATATAAATAAGTTAGGTACTACTTTTATCATATCAAATTATCTACATTGGTTACATGTTACAATGGTGATGAATGCACATGCACATCTTGTACACATGTCTTATATATCACATTCTGTACCTGCATTGCATCGTTGCTTGCTTCTACCGTTATAAAACCTTATAAACAACATGCATCATTGTTGTATTATAACTTTTATATACTGTCAGGGATTGTGTTTGGTAGGAAAGAGAGAGGGAGAGAAAGAGAGAGAGAGCAGGATACCACAATTGTCATCATCATATCATCAAAATTGTCATCACAATCTTCACAATATCCGCCATCATCACAAACATCATCATCCCTATCATCATCATCATTATCGTCATCATCATCATCATCAACCAATCATCATCATCACCATCATCGTCATTATCATCATTGTCATCATCTTCATCGTCATCATCCCTATCATCGTCATCACCATCATCATGATCATTCAATCGCATAGGACATGTTCACAAATATTTTTATCATTTCCCGCCATCTTTCGTTCATGTATGTACGACCGATTGCACGGTTTAAGCGGTTAATGGCGTTTTGGCCGTTGTCCATGCGTACAAGCTTTTCATCTAATGACCTAACCATATACGTACACTACACACACACACACACACACACACACACACACACACACACACACACACACACACACACATACACACACACACACATACATACATACAAGACACATATCTATGAACATCCTCAATTACAACGAACATTCTCACATCTAGCGTACGTTCAACTTTAGTAAAAGATATATTTATTTCGAATTTTCACGAAACGTTAGTACGGTCCGCGTCCTTTGTGAATTATTCAAAACAGTTGATGATGATATATTGCACTAACAACCGACCCTGATATATTGTTGACCGGCGTTCAAGAGTTCATTTATTGCTAAAAATTTCTAGAGAATACTTCTTTGCTTTCGGTGAATGTTGACGAATTATGAATTTGGAAGGTAATTGATTTGTCGTATAATGCTGGGTGACAGCAACTATGGACGTTTTCTGTAGAACATGTAAACACATGCTAGGCATAATAATATTACTAATTATAATATTATAATTATAATAATTATAAATAGAGTTGTTATTGTTTTAAATAATATTTTTATATAATTTCCGCAATGTTAATTATCAAGACCATCTTACTTTCAATGATGTCTTTAATTGTTGAACGTTCAACTATAACACTCATGTAATTATTGAGTCTAATTGCTTATAGCTCCTCTGCATCCGTTATCAGTCAATCTGTATTTTGCTGTTCATGCTCATACGTGCACTGCACACCACCACACATGTGTTTGTGAGTTTGTTTGTAGTTTTGTATTAATGTTTTGTTGAATTCGATCAGTTGAATTCAATTGTTAAGTTTCTCTTTCATATTTTCCATCTTTCTTGTCTTTTTATGTACACATACTTATTTGTTTGTTTGTTAATTTGCAATTATATTTGTTTATGTTTACACGTATTCGTAAGTCTCTATATATGTTATATGCACATTTGTAAGAAAGTTATACCGTGTTTAGTTTCTAATTGTTTAGTGCCATCTTACAGTTGCACGACTCAAAACGAAATTAAAATGCTTGCAGAGCGTGTCCCAGACCAGCAAAACCTTCATTATGATAATTTGTTGAATTTTTTAAATCTGGAACCATTCAGTGACCTTACCGCGCGTATGACATTTTTCCGTTTGTGAATGTCGCCAGTTATGCGGTTGTTCGTTCAAGTATGTTCATGAACACACATGCACTTTTGAACTTGAAAGTAAAGAAAATGACATATTTACACATTCAAGTTAGCGTAGGTGCCTGACATGAATTCTTCTGAAATAAGCACTTGAAACATAATAAGGATAAACGCATTTACATTACGCATTACATTTACATAAATCACATACGATTAAACGTTTTTATCATACAGATAAACAACATACGCACGTAAACACGCACGTAAACATTGACGCCATATAATCCCAGCGTTAGATTCCTATCATGAAAACCACTAACGCGTAATTCTCAACTGATTGCTTGTTCAACTCCAATCCACAATTTTCAAAGCATTTTTTTGCTGTGTTTTTTCTTTATTTTTGCGTTCCATTTTCTTTATTAAATAATTTTATCACAAATTTTCCATTGATATTGACATTTTGACATTTATCAAACTTTTTAAAGTTCAAACACATTTGTATAAATTTGTATTAAGACCACGCTCCTTCAGATTGGCAAATGCACTCAGAGGCAAAAACACAAATAGGCACACTGACGCGTATAATCAAATAATCATGTACAACAAGCCATTATTTCTTAATTTCCTGTACCCTGACGTTTTATGTTCCTTGGTAAATTTGTTAGAAGTTACTTTTTGTAAATAAGTGTAAAAAAATAAATGAATGTTTTAAGCCAAGATTTTTCTGGCAAATGTGAGAGTTTAAGGTTTAGTAGAAGTAACTGAGTCGTATGTCTGTATGTTGCAGTTGTTTTAATACGTTTGTCGTTCGTTCGTTCGCTCGCTCGCTCGTTTGTAAAAGTTTGTGGATGTTCGTTTGTTTGTGTGAGTGTGTACGTGTTTGTGTGTTTGCATTTATGTGTCTGTCTGTTTTTGAAATATGTACGTATACATACACGTTTCCTATTAATTAAATGGGTACATAATTTTAATTAAACTTTCATGACTCTATTATTTTCACCTCCAATAACTTTTAAGTCACTGGTTTTAAAATCATTCGATTACAGGTCTTTGAATTTTGCGATTAACTCATCTTCATCATTTTGCATCGTCATCTTACATCATATTACATCATCATCTTCATCTTCATTATCACCTTCCATCATCATGTTCCATCATCATCTTCTTCACCTTCCATCATCATGTTCCATCATCATCTTCTTCACCTTCCATCATCATGTTCCATCATCATCTTCTTCACCTTCCATCATCATGTTCCATCATCATCTTTATCTTCATTATCACCTTCCATCATCATGTTCCATCATCATCTTCATCACCTTACATCCTTATCACATGATCTGAAATAAAAAATCAAAGACCGCACTTTTATTAGCCATCGTCATAATCATCTTCGTTTTTGTACTCATTATCATCATCATCATCATCTACTTTCATTTTTCAATGTCAACATCATCACACTTCTTGACTAGTACAACAACTGCAAACAAACTAATTTCTGAAACACAAATTTTTATTTTTTCGAAACGTTTCACATGTTGACACCATTTCTGTCTGGCACGCAAAATAAAATTGTTTGCCATCATTCAACTTGATGAAATAACTGTACGAGTTAACAACTTTCATAAAGGCAGTTTGAGACAAGAGCCTCAAGGTAGCTGTATTACACGTTCGTTCCATTGTTTCACACATAACGAACTTCAACAGTGATGAGAAAGTTTTTGCTTCTCTCTCTCTCTCTTTCTCTCTCTCTCTCTCTCTCTCTCTCTCTCTCTCTCTTACTCTCTCTCTCTCTCTTTCTCTCTCTCTCTCTCTTTACTTTAAATAACGAAGCCAACTTCACCAATAATACAACATTCGTAGTTGTATGCTCCGTACATGAGTTATGAGTTGAATTCTTTGATCGTTCATTTGAATGCTCATATTTTGCGGGCCGAGGAATTATTAAACAAAATTACATTTTTCATTTTAAATACTTTATGTTTTTTCTTAGATCAATATAAAAATGTTTATTATTGCTATGTGTCAATCAACTAACCAACTAGCCAACTAACCAACAAATCAATCAACAAACCAACCAATGAATACGAAGGTGGAGGTCAGGGACAGTCTGGCTTCGTTGGCCGCCAGGTACCGACTGACTCCAACAAGTCTCAAGTCTCTCAACCAACTTAACAGTGAGATCCTCGTTCCTGGGCAGGTTCGATTTGTGGTGATGATGATCGGTGGTTATAATAAAGGTTACACCGAAGATTGCGATAATTAATTATACAAACGTACATGATGATGAAGCGGACCTACACGTACGCCACACAAACACACGCAAACACACACACACACGCAAACACACACACAAACACACACACAAACACACACACATGTAGCTTCTGTACGTTCCAGACGAATCTTCTGAAATGTTCGCCTCGGCCCCACCAGCCGATTCAGTAGATGAATCTGATCAAGTAGTTATGATGACGGTGTGATGTGATGATGATGGTGATGTGCTGATGTAATGATGATGTGATGTGTTGATGTAATGATGTTTATAAATTTCAACCACGCAATTAATTAAATACATTTGAATTGCTATGTATTAGTTTTTTATATATTTCTAAATATATATATATATAAACACACACATGCACACATATGCGTGTCTCAAGGTGTATGAGAGTTTGTAAGTGTGCGTGTATGTGCGTGATGTGTGTGTGTGTCTGTTATGTGTGTGCCTGTGTGTGTATTTGATTTGTGACAAATGAAATAATTTTCGCGCCGATTCAGCTCTCAAAGTCATTGAACCAGCTTCAACTACCTTCCAAACGATACTCGCGTCCAACGACACCAAACAAACTGCACTGTGTACTAGAAGAGTTGACACACGATCACGCAGTAGAGATAACCAGCAGACCTGTTTGTTCTTAACTCTTCATTACATAATGCTATACACTGCACTGATTCGATAATATTTTTCAGTGTAAAGCAATGGAATTTTAAAAAATAATAAGTTTATTGTAATGTGCTTTGCTTATTTTTCAAAATATTAATTTAATTTAAACAAAATAAAAACAATTTTTTAATTGCAACCTCGATCAAATTCTTAGCCATCAACTTTTTCAATGGAAGTCAAATACATAACAGGAGGCGAGGTTATGTTATTTTATGTTATTTTGTGTCTTTTGTGCTATGCTACGTCATATCCTGTCCTGTCATTTCATATCATGTTATGTGAAACAATGTTATATAATTTGATGAAATATATAGAGATATTTAAAGAAAAAAAAAACAATTTGATGAAATATATAGAGATATTTGAAGAAAAAAAAATTGATGAAATATATAGAGATATTTGAAGAAAAAAAACAATGTAAATGTCAAATCCCATTCCCAACAAACCTCAGATTAACGTCTTAGGCCTACTCACCATAACGCTTTCCAACGTCACATTTGACCCAATCAATTTGCCGACGAACGAGGAAGAAGTTTACCCCGGTATGAACCTTGCCATTGACCTAATTAAATCGCGCATGTCATTGGCTGATCAGTTGATGAGTGCCAACATCGAGAACAGCCTGCCATTAAGGTTTGAATTTTGCGATAAGCCTAGCATATCTTTAGTGCATGTTTGTTTTAATCAAATAATATTTAAATGCAATCTATGAATTATATTAAATTTCAATTAATTCTTTAATTAACAAATAATGTAATTTAAATTTAATTATTAAACTATCAAAGTTACGAACGTCATTAATTGTTATGACGTCATCAGTAATACAATACTATAGGTTAAAAATCAAAAAACCTGGATATATCATATTAGTAATCAATGTTTTAATTACGAAATAATTATGTATAATAAATAATAATTAAAATACAATTATAAATTATGAATAATAATTGCGGTATGAATGATTTCTCAAAAAAAAAACAACTCCAGATTGTGTAGGAGCATATCCTTCTACGAAAGTCCACTTGAAATGATAAGCGACGACTTTGCTGAGGAAGAAGTGAACAGCAACGACCTTACAGCACGCAGAGGTGTCGCCGATGGTGGTGACGATGTGGCGAATGTTGGTAGCGTAAAAGATGGCGATCACCGTCACGATCTGGGAGTTTCGCTGCGTCTCAAAATGGATGGAAGTAAGTTCTATTCTATTATCCTTTAGTTTGTTTCAATTCATGATTAGAGTCATTTCTTTTCAAAAATATAAAATAATTGCAAAAAGGATGATTGTATATAAAAATGTATTAAGTTTCGAACATTTGCTAGAAGGAGTGTCCTTCTTTGTCTTTCTTTATCTTGAGCAACTTTTCCTCTTACCGCAAAAGTCACCCATCAGCTTAATGTTAGATAAGTTTTATTAGATAAAAAGCTGATAGTTTATTGCCTCTGCACTACCAACCAAAACTACTATTTCATTTAATAACGTTCTTAAAAATTATTATTCACCTTCCTCAATAAAGCAAACAACGCAAGCACATTAGCAATTAGAAAACTAAGTTCTCAACATTTTTAAAATAAACTAAAAAATGCTTGTGAAGATGCAATAAATAATATTATACTTAATATTATAAAACATGTTGAATGAAATAATTTATAAGTTCAAGACATGGACCCCTGCAAAGACTTGATGACATTTGAGCCAGGCCAACACGACGCAGCAGAACAGATACAATCTTCAAATCCATCTCAACTTGCAACCTCTTCATCCACCTCATTGACGGAGCAAGTTTCTGTTGCTTCCACCAGCAAGAGGAAAATGTTCCTCAAGATAAAACTGGCAAAGAAGGACATAAAATCTGACACTCCATTCCTCCACATGTTCGTCAAAAGCATCAGCATTGGCTACCACGTACAAGAGCATTACTTCGAAGTCGTCAGAGATAAGTTAGTGCTTTGAATATTTTTCATCACTGCTTGCATGCTGGTTCACGATGCTGATTACAGAGGCATACCATAATGATGACTGTAGTTGGAGATGGTGAACATGATGTTGAGGAGATGAGTTCGATGACGACTAAAATGACTGAGGTGATAATAACAAGGAATAACACTTAAACGATGATGATGTCTTTAAAAACTTTAAAAACATGATTTCAAATTTGCTGATGTTTGCATTAAATATGTGTTTTTCTTTTACAATAATGAATTAGTTAATGTTTACTACCCAGCATACCAGCCTTTGAAGCCTACATGCGTTGTTACTACAATGACAAGCTGAACAAACCGGACGACGGCGATGGTGCTGTCCACATTCCGGTCATGCCCGCGAAAAAAGTTAATTTACATTTCAAAAAATTATCCACACTTTATTGAAATTAATTAATTAAATTAATTAATTTGTTGGTGTCACGACCGACCGATTCATTCAACAAAATTGACATCGAAATGCTTCTCTGGGATACGCAAAAATATTAGGAAAATTTTAAAAGTTTAGGAGACTCTCTAGACCATTGAAATTTTATATTTATATTTAATAAATATATTTTATATCTCATAATTAGTTTGCTTTGAAGTTTTTAGTTTTTCCACTAAACAAACCTGTTGGCGTTAATGTTGCAGGCAGCTGCCAACCAAACAATCAGGCGGTCCCTTTCAGTGGCCGAACTCTGCAACCTGCCCCTACCTGAGATGTCGGAATCAAGTCAGATCTTCAACGACGGACACATTCGTGTGGTACGGTGGCATATCTTTCTTATTGTAAATAATTTGTTACTGTGTGATACGTTTTGATTCAGAGTCATGTTTTGGCGTGCCTCATTGTGTGTTTGGATAATGTGGCTCGTACAACACTACAAACGTTTATTTGCGTTAAACGTTTAAAGCTGTGTTTACGCTTATGTATGCTAGTACTATTTATGTGAGAGTGAATTAAGAATGAGCTCACTTAAAGCTAAGAGCAGTCCTTAAAGCTAAGAAACCAAAAAAGATAATAAGTTTCCAATAAACACCGGCTGATAAAACGCCCAATAAAATTTTTTAAATCCAGTTTCGAGAATTTCTTCCGTCACGAATTGATGGTCGGCCGTGGAACCTTGCGTACAGCAGTTGGAAACACGGCTACAGCCTGAAAACGTTGTATAGACAGGTGGCACTGCTCAGAACAAATCCTGACGTGGCTCTCCTCATTGTCAGAGATTCTAAAAAACAAGTTTTCGCATTGTTCATTTAGTCACTGTGTTCTGTAATAAAAATCTTTGATAACAAACGTGATACTTTTTGAATATTGCTTTTTAGTTTTATGAAAAAAAATCGTTTTAATAAAAATTTAAAAATCCTATTTCTGAAATGTTTAAAACGACCAACCTCCCCACGAAGATATTCGGTGCATTGATTTACGACGGCATCCACAAGAATGAGTCCTTCTATGGCGGTGGAGAGTCCTTCATGTTCAGTTTCTATCAGAGGTTCAAAGTTAGTTGACGTACCAGTGCCGGTGCAGGCATGTGTCCGGCTGTGTTTTAAAATTTTATTTGTTCATTCACCAATGAGGATAACGAGCGATAGTCATAGGTGGTGATCGTTTGAAATATTTGAAACATCCTTGCAGTCAATATTTTTTCTTTTTTCGTATCCTACATGAGTAAAAAGCATCATCATTGTTATCATTGTCATCATCATTCCATCACCACTGATGTCATCATCTGCATCATCATGTACTCATCGCTTTCACTGGCAGCACTATCCATGGTCCAGTCTGAATGATTACATTGCCCGAGGAACATCCGAATACTTCATCGTCGGATCGTCAGGGTCCATTTCGTCTTCTACTTTATTATTATTATTATTAATTATTATTATTATTATTAATTCTTTTTGTTATTATTATTTTTATTGTTATTAACAAGTTTAATATCATTTAATCATTACTATTTTTAATTTTTTGTTATAATGTTTAAAAAATTATTATTAAAAATTTTGCAATTAACTTTGAAAATTTTATAAGACGAACCTAATCACGAAAATTTTAATAGCGCCAGATTTCTATGATTTAAATTACGCGAATGAAACATCGTTAATGAAATAATGAAACGTCAAATAACATAAGTGATTGTGTCCTCCATAAAATTGAACAAAACAGCGGATCGTACGGGTTGTCGATCGATGACAGCTTAGAGACTGGCAAAACGAACAAGTGCGAAACATTCCAAAACAACCTTCTGACGTCATCTGAGGAGTTCAAGATTGACGCAGTCGAAGTTTGGCACTTTCCATTCCAACTGAAATAAAATTTACAACAGTTTTATACTTGCGTGTGTTGTATGTGGTTGCTTTTATTTTTCCATTCTGCTGTACGTTTATTGGCTTTGATGATCTTAAAAATTACCACTTAAATTCATATTTATTTGATAAATTTTTTGTATAACTTGCAACGTTTTATGTATTTCAATATTATTGCGTATAAAATGTTTATCATTTTTAAGAGGTCTCAAGCAAAAAATGTTGTCAGCTAAATCAAATTTAGATGAAGTATTGGTGTAGTACGTTGTTGAAAATTGAAATGGAGATGCGTGCCTAACAAATGCATACTACAGGTAGATAGATAGAGAGATACTACCATTTTTTCACTAATAAATGATTCGAAAAAAACTATTTTGGAAGTTTTTTCAAGTAACCAGTTTCACAAAAAATTGATTCAAAGATTTTTGAGATATTATTTTTCTGATTTTAACTGTTTCATACAAAAGGGTTTAAAAGTTGACATAATACTTTATATCAACTCTATACGTCTATATGAATAAATTAGTAAAAACATAATTTATGGTTCAATTCAAATTCTCTTCAAATTTTCACATCGACTTGCAATCAAACCACAAAAACCAAATTTTTGCACTGAAGCAAAACTGGTAACTTTCGTAACGAAACGTGAATAGCTAAACATACATTTACTAGTTGATTGGTTTTTTACTGTCAATATTTATTTTTCTTTGGTCAAATGTTTGAGTAAGTAAATGACTTAATAGAATTCCATTAAAATTTTTTACTTATTGAACTTGACCGTTTTATAATTTGTTCAGTTAAACCATTCCTTCACTCCTTTACTCCAGTTCACTCCTTCACTCCAGTTCACTCCTTTACTTCACTTCACTCCTTCACTTCAGTTCACTTTTTCAATTAACTTCTCTCGTTCCTTCCGTCCATTCATTTCATCTTGTAGGTAATTAATCAGTTAATGGGCAAAAATTAATTACTAATATAATTAATAATAAATTGCATAATAAATTATAAAAAATATATTTTAATAGTATTAATTAAATAATTATTATCTTTGCATCCTATGTTTTTCAATTTATATTTTATGAAACGATTTTATAGCAGAGAATATAACACAATTAATCATTGAATTATTTCTATATTATAGGTATACATTTATTTATTTTAGTTTCATGTTTATACATTAGTTCCGTGCTTCTTGCTTATTGGAGCACGAAAAATGAAATGTACTTAATTGCCACAAAGATTGTATCATTATATTGAATCCTACAATCTAATCTGGCCATTAACACGAAGAAGTTGATGACAACCTGCAATATATGATAATGGAGTAACGTAATTATTTTAATGTGTTTTTATTAATACTTCTCCTAAGGGTAACGTATAATGTTTTTTATAATAAGGTTTATGTTAATATATGTTTATTTATAATATGAATAATATGAATAATGTTTTATAGTAAGGTTTATTTATGATAATGTACAAACAATTTATCCTAAGGTACTGTAATGTTTTATAGTAAGGTTTATGTTAATTTATGTTAATTTATGATAACGTATGAACAATACTTTTACGTTTGACTGCGTTTAAGAGTGGTGTCAACAGGGCAAAGCAATGCATCGTATTGAATGGTAGGTAAGATAAAATACATTTTTTTAAGAAGCAAATAAAATTTAAATAAAGATAAAATGAAGATGTCTATTTTAAGTTGAATTTGATAAACACTAAACGCTTAACGTTAATGTTTGACGGGCTGATTCATTTATTTAGCGCAATGTACGTATTACATTTTTTTTAAATGTCAAAAATATAAGTGGATGCGTTTTTAGTGTTTGTAGGCCAGTGTGTTTGTATTGTGATGTACGTATGTGTGTTATCAGTATATGCATATAAATGAGAATTGATTGTGACGTGAAATAAACACAATACAACCAAAGACAGCCACCAATTAACAGCAGCAAAGAACAGCAACGTCATTACCAACCAGATAAATATTATTGAAAGACTTTACAAGCAAAGAGAATGAACATACCAAAGATATAATAAACTAACAGGACAAACAGAATAAAGTACTTCGCACACAAAAAGAACTGTAATTCTTTGAAATATACCTATATAAGCGCTGATTATGAGTAAAATCGAAATATGGCCTAGATGCTTCATTATGAACACCAATTATTTTTTTATTAATTTTAATAAATTAGATAATAATTATGAAACTAATGTTAGAAATATTGAAAAACTCAACCGTAAACTTTCAAAAGCTAAAAATTTGGTAGATTTTACCAAAGATATATCTATATAGAAATATAAATATACATAGATTACCATACATATATTTTAAAAAATATTGTAGAATTCTACAGTATATACATATATATATATATATATATATATATATATATATATATATATATATACATATATACATATTATGCATGTATATGTATAATATGACCCATGCTAATTATAGGCTGTATGTTGTTTACAGGCTGTTATTTCTGACTGAGCGATGTGATATGAGTTTTATTATTTATTGTTTTTTTTTTACATTTCATTAGTTGGATGACGTTGAGTTGAAATTATAGAATGATTACATTACAACTACGTAGATGATGTTGGCAGACGGTCCTAATGATGATGAGCTGATGATGTTTGTCCTATAATACTAATTGATTTTACGAGTTACAAATTTTCTGCAACATTTTGTTGTATAATTTCGACTGTGATTAACAAACATACAAACCATGCATTGTTTGTTTGAGCGTTTTTAACACACTTGATTAAATATTAGAAAATTATTTTTAAACGATAAAAAGAAACTAATCATTCCTTTGTTTAACTGTCTCTGTGGCTGCATCCCAATGAGATTAATGTGATTGTAAGTAATAAAGTAATATTGTAAGGCTGAATGTAATGCTATAATATGAGAAGTGTTAAAAGTGATAGATTGACCATTGTCATATTGTAATAAGATTATATTATAATAATAAGAATAGAATCGTTGAAAATTGTTCAATAATAATTAAGAAATAAAATAATATAACGAATAATAAATACGGCGAGCGTTTAAATAGTTCTGCCGACAATGAAACAACACAAACGACCATTAAAGATTTTCTATTGATTTTACAATGAATTGTAATAATGATGAAAGAGCTTGTTTCTACAGCTGCATATAATCATTACACATACACATACAAAGACACATACACACAAACACACACACACATACACACACACACACATGTATATATATACATAAATAATATATATATATATATATATATATATATAATATAGACACTTAACAAGGTACTTAGGTCGATTTATTGATTCACATGTTTGCGTCTATAATAATGACTTAAATATATATTCTGATGTCATGTTTTTTGTATACACGTAGAAGCAGAAGTAGCTAGTGAAATTGCAAATATGAAACAATCAAAATTATGATTGCTAACACTCATAACTCGCTGACGCTAAATGAATGAAAGTTTCCGACAAGATTACTAATTTTTAATTAAAAACTGGTAACATTAATTAAAAAGCTAAGTGAAATTGATATTGTAGCCAAAATTGTTGTTATAACCAAATTGTTTACATTGATAGCACACGCCAAAGTGACTATGTGATTGTTTTGTTGCTGGCTTTCGAGCTATATTACAATTACCATTCCATCTGCTTGTTATGGTGGTATGCGTATATTAACATGAAGGTTCCTTTAAAACATGTTGCAGGCGCAAACATTTGTTCATGTCATATTTAACCACGGATTACTTATTCATAGTTATTAGTTATCACACTTTGCTTTAAAACAAATATTTGTAATTAGATAATGTGAAACCAAACTGAGTATCTGGACATTTAATTGTATCTTGTTTCAACCGTAGTAAACGAAAGAATCGAATGGGAATCAAATACAACTGCGTTAACAAAATACCGGATTAAAAATTTAAAATAAAATAAATGTTGAAACTGGCAAACTTCGTGAATGTCGTTGAATTTTTTCATGGAATAAAATTGCTAATTTTGTCAACAATTTGCATGGAATAAGATGGATACCAAAGGAAGTTTGTACTGTACTGCTTACTTTACTTTAAAAGAGTTTTGTGTAAAATATTTTACATCATACATGAGAGAGAAATTCAGGATCCGCCACAGTCATTATTCTCCATCTGTTCACATGTCTACATTTGAAATCAATAATTTTTTTTTCTCACGATATCAACCAAAATTTAAAACCTGTCCTGTCAATCAATTTTATTGCGAACAAATTTCACTAATCGGTTAAATTAATAATCATTTGATGAACTGAACTTAATAATACCCAGCGTTTGCCAAAACTAATTATGTAACTATTGATTAATTAATTGATTAATTAATTAATTGGACGACGATCAAAATATTTGGTCAGTTGATTAGTTGTTTCGTAAATTAACCTTTCATGCACTTTTTCAGCAGCACCGTGGATAATTGTAACTGGTGTTTGCGGTTCAGTTGTGTTACTCCTCTTCTTGATGTGGTGTCTCTGCAGATGTTGCACCGGTAAGAAGAAGGCTTCCAGCAAGAAGGGTGCCAAAGGATACATCGACATCTCGCAAGTCCAACAGCTCGGTCTCTCCTACAAAGAAAAAGTTCCTTTTCACTTTTTTCCAGTTGTTCCGTAAACAGTTAATCTCTTATAATTTACAACTCAAAAAATAACAAGTGTAAATTCAAACTAAATAATGACCATTTAAACAAATGAATGTAGTTAATGTGATGGATCGATTGATTGATTAACACAAAGGTACAACCTGACCTGAACGAATTGAAGGAGAACATGGAAGAGAACGAAGATGCCCAACATCGCGGAAGACTCCACTATTCACTCGATTACGACTTCAATCGCAATGAGGTCTCTAGCGACTTTTTTTTCAATCTCTTATTCACACGCCGTTCAACAGATGGCGAACTTCAAATATTTTTATGAAAATTGATTTTATCAGTTGCATGAAGCATTATGAAGGGAGCAAAACTTTTTGATTTGCATTGAGTGTTTGTATTTAACAAAAAAAAAAACAATTTAAACAGAGAGTGTATGACAAATTATAAAGTTTGATGTGAGCGTCCATTCAATCAGTTTTTGTTATGTGCATGTATTGAAAACTGAATCATAAAGCAACTTTGAAACGAGCAGCTGAGTGTTGGAGTGATGGAACTTGTCGGCCTACCTCCAATGGACGTAAGTGGAACCACCGACCCTTACGTTAAAGTCTACTTGAATCCAGATAAGAAAAAGTTCGAAACGAAAGTGCACAGGAAGACATTGAACCCAGTTTTCAACGAGACATTCCAGTTTAAAGTAATTTTATTGTTTCGTGATTCAACGTACGTTGCAGGTAAGAGTGGCATGAAAAAGATCTTTTACATTAACATTTTGAATGCTTTTGAATGCTCTTCTATTTAAGAGTGGTGTTATTTTATTTTTTATTTCTCATACAATTTACCTTGGTGACAAAAAAAATTTCCGATGTTTTTGAAGATAGCCTACTCAGAATTATCCTCAAGGTCCATTACATTTGTCGTAATTGACTTCGATCGTTTTTCCAAGCATGACGTCATCGGACAGGTCAAGGTCGGTCTGGCCAGCATTGATTTCGGGACGGCAACGGATAGATGGGAGGATGTCGGAATGGCTGACTTTGAGATGGACAAGGTTTGCACTTAATTTTAGTAATTTGCATATAAAAATAAACTTTGAATAAACCTTCGTGATGAGAACATGAAATTAAAAATTGAAAATATTCTGCAGTCCACTCGACTGGGAGACATATGTTTCTCCTTAAGATACGTTCCAACTGCTGCAAAACTTGTCATCGTCATACTGGAAGCTAAGAACCTCAAAAAGATGGATATATCCGGTTTGTCGGGTCAGTTACGTTGTCAGCATCTACTCCCTTTGTTATCTTGCCAAATAGATCTACTTTTTTAGTTGTCTTAGTTAATAAATTATTGGGTTGTCTAAAAAGTCAGCTAACATTTAAAAAATATTTTCTTGACGTATCTGCTTTTTGAAATTAATTTAACCCGTCAGACCCCTACGTGAAAGTAACGTTGTACATCGGCGGCAAGAAAGTAAAGAAGAAGAAATCAACTGTGAAGAAGCGTACACTCAACCCATACTTCAACGAATCGTTCACATTTGAAGTTACTTTCGATCAAATACAAGTTCGCCATTTTTAATTGCAAATAAAATTTTAATTGATAAAATCTACAATTTTATTTTACTTTTTGTTGTGTCTTTTCAAAAATTAACTGCCTGAACTACAATCTTGAAACCGTAACTACTCGATCGACAAGCAGAAAGCGAGCCTGGTGATTACAGTTATGGACTACGATAAGATTGGATTCTCGGATCCCATGGGCCAAGTGGTCGTCAGCAGTAAGGCATCAGGAACCGGACTGAGGCACTGGAGCGACATGCTGGCCAATCCACGACGACCAATCGCCCAGTGGCACGAACTACAGGAAGTCACAGAGAAAAAATGAATGATGAATGAGTGAGTGAGTGAGTGAATGAGTGAGTGAGTGAGTGAGCGAACGAACGAACGAACGAACTAACGAACGAATGATGAATAAGAATAATGTCTTTAAAGATACAGAATGTTATTTAACTAGCGTATTGTAAAAAATTTCAATAGAATCTTTTATTAGAAATGGTATAAGGCTTCAGTTTAACACTTTATACCATATAATCAAAATACAATAGAACGTTTATGTAATATATACGTATGTTTCAATCAAGATATCTTAACCCAAAAAACATTTACATAACACAAACACATATTACACATTATTTATATTACTTTCTGTTTTATTTATTTATTTAGTTCAATATAAAACAATGTTATTCTACTTCTTCTTCACTTTATTCTAAAAAAGATTTGCTCTTGAGATACCTACGTATGTATGCGGAGCAGTATGCCCGCACAAGCAGTTAACCTTGGACGAATTTATTAGGTTACCATCTAGTTTGAATTGAAATAGGAAACGCCACCTAGAGCTTTTTGCTATTTTTTAACGATTTATAATTAAATTAATTAGTTTTTAATATTGGAAAGAAAAGAAATATTAAATAAATTAATTTTTTTTAAATTTTTATTGTATATTCTATATTTTTATTATTTTATTTGTTTTTAGTTTTAATTTTATACTTTTTCTTTAGCTCTCTGTTCTATAAAAAAGTTCATCTCACCTCCCAATTCATTTATTCATTCATACAATCATTCATTCATTCATACGTGCATGTATAATTTATTTATTGAAGTTCATATCACACCCCAGTCTTCCAAACCTTTCATTCTCAACCACTTCGTGAAATAATGTACGTCCATCCGATACAGTTAGCTACAAAAAATCTGTATATATAAATAATCCTACATGAAGCCACACTAAAATATGTTTTTGTTGTCCCGCTGCAACATTCTACACTTCAAATTCCGCGGCTAACATTGGTTAGGAATGGGGTGTTTGTTCCAACTTTAAATTTTATTTAAAAAAAATTAAAATACCAAAAAATGAAGCAGAGAAAAGTAACATCTGTACAGCTAATGCAATTTTTTGCACTTGCCAGCTTGCACCTGCTTCTTACTTCAATTTGAACGTCGAGTGAAAAATGTGTTCGGTTGGTGGCGGCCTGTTTGAAGCTTAAGTAACACCTTCATCATTTGTCATCTTCATTTTTCTTTACCTTGTTCATCGTCACCATCATCATTATTCATTTATTATCACCATCGTTATTTACCATGGTAGGTCAAAGTAAGGAACAGCTATATTTTTGATTTAGAATGATTTAGAAATAGATTGAAAGACAGTAGTAAGAAAAAAGTTTGCTATCAAATCAAAATTAAACAAGAATATCAACAACAATTTTTTCACCGAAATATTAATTTAAGATTCAAGGGTTAATTTTTAATTTTTAACAATTCCAATTTAAAGTAGAATCTAAAAATAAATATTTTGTAAAGTCTGAATAATTAAAACACTTGTAAATTCTCCTTGTTATTAAACTCCTTCACCAATATAAAAAAAACTAAGAAAACATACAAGACGGTTAACGTAAGAATTTTCAAACAAACATTTTATTAAGTTTTTTAGTGACATAATCTAATGGTGCTTCATCGCTATCCTCATCATCTTCATCCTCATCTCTATCTTCATCATCTTCTTCCTCATCATCTTCATCTTCATTCTCATCTTCTCCATTTTCATCATCTTCATCCTCATCATCTTCCTCCTCATCATCTTCTTCTTCTTCATCCTCATCTTCTTCTTCCTCGTTTTCCTCTTCGTCTTCATCATCCTCATCATCTTCTTCTTCTTCATTTTCATTATCATCTTCTTCTTCGTCGTCATCACATCAGAAGATCACATGAACATGAATGACATCAAGCCTGCCTTACTCACTCACGCCATTCAACGTAACCTTGCTCTGCCTACTGTTTACTTGTTATTATTTATCACATGTTTCTAAGTATGTGTTTGTGTGTGTGTGTGTGTGTGTTGTGTTGTATGTTTATGTCACATTTGCTTAGGTTCAAATGTGTATTTCCCTCCAAATCAAATAAAATACATGGAGTGCGTTAAAACATCCGACTTGAGTGCTTCACAACTTGTTTAATAATAATAACATTAATAATACACACTAATAATAATAATAACGTAACATTGCTCTGCCTACTGTTTACTTGTTATTATTTATCACATGTTTCTATGTATGTGTTTGTGTGTGTGTGTGTGTGTTGTGTTGTATGTCTATGTCACATTTGCTTATATTGTGTTTGTTTAGTGCTGTCAACATGCAGAAGATATGTTTTCAATTTAAACATTTTAGAGAGCTATTATTAGTTGTAATGAAGTTTGATGAGTTTTGTACATCATGATATGCGTATTCATAATTTGAAAAATATACAAAGTGAAAAGAATAAAGTGCTACAAAACTTCACAAAGCATGTATTTCAATTATAATGCTGGAGATAAAGACACGCGTAGCCAGAATTGTACGATATGTTGGAATGACGTTTAGTTTAGTAAGATAGTCATATAACACATTCAAGATAAAAAGTAGTAAATATCAAAGCAGTTGAATATGACTAAGTAACAAGATGGTAAAAAAAATGTATTGTTACCGTTTCTAAATAACATTTTTCAAGAAAAGATGTCTTCAAGCCTGGGTGACTAAGACTAAATGTATTACAGTATAATTGTGCTTATGATTAAGCAGTCATTAAACGAAATAATAGAGAAGAACTCTAAGTTTTGGCACAATCATTAGAAATCAAACAATCTATTAATTTATCAAACTTATAAATAAAACTTTAGATAATCATTTCGGTTTGTTAAAATCACAAAAAATATGTGAAATATAAGCAGAGCGATACAGCGTGTTCAACATCGTCATGTGTGAACGCATTGTACCCTATTCAGTACAGTAATTGTACATGTGGATGCATGACAGGAAGGAAGGCATGAGGCTTTCCACAACTCCACGCGCACATTTTCTCGTGTACTTTTCCAAGGAATAGCGCAGTATGGGCTGCAATGCATGCATATGTTTTGCAAGATCAATATGTGGAATGTTCCAAGAATCTCCTGTTGTTGTTGCAGTCATCAACACCTCCTCGTATAATGTACGACGTTCGTGTGCAGTTGTCTCCTTCCGCTTCTTTCTTTTTCTCTCTCTCTCTCTCTCTTTCTCTCCTTCTCTTTCTCTCTCTCTCTCTCTCTCTTTTCCTAGTTCGGTCAACTTTCAATGACCGTTTGCATTTTTTTCACTTTTTCAAAAATAATTACAGGACTGAAGTTATGACAGATATTGAAATACGTGTATTGGACAAAATTCTCAAGTGCAGAAATGGTTGTTGAAAATTAAACACTTTGGCATATAAAATATTATAGATTAAAATTACCAGAATCGTTCTTTTCTGATCTGTTCACGCACACAGTTTTAACTGGAAACCATTTGTTTATAACTGGAAACCATTTGCTTATAACTGGTAACTATATACTTAAAACTGGTCTGGTAACAACATACTCATCACTGATGGTGTCACTCAAATTTTATGTGTTTAGAAAGCTGTATTTTGTCTTCAATGCAAAATGTGTAACAACGGGAAGAGAAGCAGAAACCGATTAGACGAGTTTAGGAAATAAATCATTTGAAAACAAGAGAATTGGTGTCCCAAAAACCAATTTAAAAATTAAAAATATATATATGTGTTATATATAATGAGATGAAAAAAATGTGAAAACATTATGATTTGCTGGACATATATGTAAAATGCTGGTTGGCGGGTTGATAAAAGAATTTTAAAAATTGTATTAACGAAGTGAACAGACTTGGAGAAGAACATTGTAAGAAAAAGATTGACGATCGCCGAGTGAATTTAGATACAAACGTTGAACTCAGCGAAAATGGCCCAAAAATATTTTGAAAAAAAAAACAATAAAATGGGCGCCGTTGGCCTTTTGGTTCTTTGAAAAATTCCAAAAAATCAGGAAATAACAAATAAAAACTTACCAATTGTAATTAATATACCTAAATACGTAGGTATGTTGGTCTGCTTGCAACAGCATTTATCTATGCAATGATAGTCATGAGGCTAAAAAATAACTTGATGAACCGTTCACGTGAAATTCATTTCATCTGAATATCACAAATACGCAATGACATAGTGCGCGCTTTGTATGTGTGCGTCTCCGTATGTATGTACGTACTCATGCAAACAACAAATTACGCAGTTTGACTTGAAATTTTCTGCCACACAGAGACAGACACATAATGAGAAGCACACATTTGTTTGTGTATTCAAGCCGATATGGAAATATGCCAAGATCAATATTTAGCTATAAACAAAGTTTCTAAAATGCATTCATTTCTCTGCTGTTTTTATATTTGCTTATTTATCATAAATGTATGTAGCGTATGTAATTAGCTTGTTTTTGGGGATCTTGAATTTTTCACATTTAATCAAGTTATTAGTTAATTTTAATTATCAGCAAGCTCAGTTGTTAAGATAGTTAATCATCAAAGACTCGGATTCCTTAAATGATCACCTAATTTTCCTCAGTATTTTTAAAATTCTATGGAAAAAATCTTACCAAATAAATATATTAAAGTTTCATTATGTAGTAAATTTTCATTCTTTCGGCACCATAAATACATTTAGAGCCCAGAGAAACATAGCCCAGTTTTTTGTTGAGAATGTTAACATCTTTTGAATGACTCTAACTTTTTTCACAAAATTTAATTTCATTGTAATTGAAACGTTTAAAATTAATAACAACTTTCGAAAGAGAAATCCATGTAGCTCTAGACTGAAAATATCATCAGTATTTTTTAAATCTCTAAACCACCTTCTAACTTATATATAACAAATAAATCTAAACAATGCCACATTTTTGTGTATATTGCAAAAACATAGCGATAAGCTGGCCATACATGAAGCGCACTGACCTATCGAATGCATTCATGATCCATGGAATAAATTATTTTGCATTGCGTGTGAAATGAGAAGTAGCTGATCGAGTCGAAATAATTGAAGAACAAACAAACAAACTTCTACGTGTGAATGAATTGTTAAGAAATTTAAAAATTATCGAAGAATGATTTCAGTAGAACAGCACCGTGTCATCACATGCGTCATACTCTCTACCTTTACAGTTAATGTATGTAAGAAATAATTGCCTGTAAAGAAGGGTAGTTAAATAAGAAAATGTGTTTGCTCCTGCATATATGACACGCGCTTCCGTAGATTGCCTTATGTAAGAATGTTCTACATCAATCGGTGCGATGAATTCATATATATATATTATATTATATCACATACATCTTCATCAGCTCAATTAGCAAAATGAATTATAACAATCCTCTACAATAGATCTCTTTACATTCTTATAAGACGATAGCACATGTAATGTAACGAGATATGAGGAGATGAATGGATGCATGGATGGATGCATAGATGGATGCTCCGATGGATATATAAAGAGGTTGGTTTATATGTTAGCGAGCTAGCAAAGATAGCAGGAAGGCAGTCTGTATTATTGACGTTGGTCGACTTAACGCATACAACTGCACGTTCGCTACGCATAATAGCAACGTAGATAGCATTACGTTTTTACGCAGTCGAAATTAAGTTTTTACGCAGTTGTTTCTTCTACTTGCGTGAAGGATTATTGCCGAGATTGTAGATGTTTATGATCAATATTATACTTGCTCACGTCTTAAGTAAGTTGCTGGGCTTTATTTTTTTTCAATTTTACATCAAATTTAAATTAATTTTTATGAAATTTTCTCTTGTTTATAAGTATTTTTTAAATTTTATCAATGGATATATTCATGCAGTCGCTAATTTTTTTTATTTTACGAAATTATTTTCATTCTATATAATATTACGTGAAAAACTTTAAAAAGAATTTGAACGTTTATTAACGACTTTTTTCTAAAGCTTAAAAACCACAGCGAACAAAAATCGTTTCAAAAGACATTCACATCCAATTTTGCTATAATTATAAATCCATTAAAACTTAAATATCCAATAAATTATTTTTTTTATAAACATTTTAATATAATCTTGAAGAAATTTTTAAAATTACTTCAATAAAAGACAAAACAAAAAGATGACGATAAAGATAACGACGATGAAACTATTTTGCCAAATCGTTTAAATAATTTCGATTTTTATCAAATGATGTTTCTTGCATAATGAGCCCTTACCAAAATGCTACATTGCTATTATATTATTATTATTATTAATATTATTATTATTATTTTGTAATGCTTATAGGATTCTTATTAACTACCAACATCTGTCATTCATTTAATGATGATTTTCTTTTAAATTTAAACTATATAATTAACTATCACAGTTGGGTATTTCTGTTTTAGAAAATTGAACAAAAATAATTTTATTTTTATATTCATAAGTTACCGGTTTGTAATATAATGAATGGTTCAAATCCATCTAAATTTACTTGAATGCTGTAAAAAACACGGTATCGTAAATATTTTTATGTTGTACCGTTTTAAAAATCGCTGCACTGGTTACTGGTTATTACGACCCTAAACCACATACACACACAACAACACACACACACATCATAGCCACACAATACCACATCATACATACCACAACTAGACAGTACCACAACCATACAACAAACTTCATACCATAGCCACACGACTCGACACCAAACCACATTACAGAATATCAATAAGAAGCAGGAAATATTGATCCTTCAGCAAACAAAACATTCTGCATCCGGGCAGGCGTGTGAGAATTAAAATTATTTCAACATCTGCTGCCATTGACTGACCAATCATGGAGATGAAAAATAAATTTTTTAGAATGGAGCGTGCGTGAATAATAAAATTCGTTCCTTTGTTGTGGGAACGACCGCAGATCCGACAGACGCTGCTATTTTTATTGGCAGATGGACTGAAATTAGTAAAGATTAAGTTAGATTAGTAACGAGTTAATTAGATTAATGTATATTGTTTTATATCAATTTTGATTAATCGAGGTTTAAACAGGACTGTTTGAGATTAATTTATGTTATTATAATCTATTTTAGATTAACAAACATTAATTCATTGATTAATTGGGTCAATAAAAATTAATTAAGATTAAGGATGATTAATGGCATTAAGATAAATTGAGATTAACAATGGATAAGGATATTAAAAACATGGAAGATTAATTAAATAATTTGAAATGAATAAAATTGAATAAAATATGATCTAATTTAAAAAAAAGGTTGATAATAAGTTTCTGAATATCATTTGAATTGAAATTGCTATGAGATTTTGATAGATTTTTACAAAAAGAATAAAAGCGAAACATAAGTAACGAACAGACGATTCAAAATGAACATTATTTTTTGTAAATATGGAGATATTGAACCAGTCTAGGTAATCACTTCTAATTCCAAAAGGAAGAAAGAAAAATTTTTAAAGTAAATTTTAACGTTAAATTCTATGGAGGAAGACGCCATATAAAATTTACTTTTAATTTCTCATCTACACATTAGAGCAGGTGTTTGTTCAGCAAAAATGTTTTAAGTAAATATTTGTCTAAAGTTATTTTTATAATAGCAACTAATGGTACTGTTATTGGTGTGTGTTTGTAATAGCCATTTGAACAAATCTCAGAGGCGGAAAGATCTTATATTTATAATATATATCACTTAATAACACAAAACTGATTTTAATTTTGAATAATTCTCGAGACGGACGAAACCACCTATAAATCGATAGATCTTCACAATCGGGTATGAATTTGAATAAACTAAACAAAGAGTGCCGAATAGATAGAGCACGATAGGTTAAATCGTACGGAGCACACTATGATGGCATATATTGCGTTACATGTTATTGTCACGATATAAGCTGCACCAGTAATTTTTGTGATGAAGCCTGCTTAGGTATTAGTATAAATCACATGGCTGACGTGAATGACTTCGTCTCACATGTCGTTCCCACCATATACATTAATAAAAATACACAGGAGGGTCTATATACAATTTCATTCTTATCTTAAATTTGATTAAAGCAGTTTTTGGTAATTTTTGGAGGTTATTTTAAAATTTATTTTCCTGATCATTAAATACCAAAGTTTAATTTTTTGACTTAACACGTTGGTAGTATTGGACTGCCTCTCCATTTCCATACAATAATAGTAATAAAATTTTTTATTATTTTATTATTATCATATGGTCTTCTGTCTTTTATAATTTTTATAATGTTAATCTCGTGCACCGTTAGT